AAAAAAAAAAGGAGATGGAAAAGCTCATTACCCTGATTAGGTCATTACATGTTGCACACATGTAGTGAGTTATCACATCAGATCCAATAAATATGCACAATTGTTATGGTAAATTTAAAAAGAATGTTTTCATCGAAGTATTATAATGCAAGTAAGAAGTCAGGGATATGGCTGCAATACACAGAGTAAGAAGGACCTGAAGGGAGGCATTTCATCACATGACTAAAGAGATACACAAGACATTCGGCTCCTAATGCCCACATCCAGCCAACACCCAAGACCTAATCAACCTCTATAACTCCTGCAAATCACAGCAGTGGGAATGAAATACTGAGCAGGTCACAGAAGCTGGCTAACTGGTTCTTCAAGTACAGGCCATGAACTTCTCTGATGGTGTCACTTTTGGTCTAAGCCTCCGGTACTGGAAATTCCAAGCCCAGAAGCCGTTTAGACTACTTGCTAAGTGCAAACGCAGGAAACACAACACATAAAAGCAGGAGGGTGAGAACTCCGGAGCAGGAGAGAAGCCAGGTGGCTGTCTAAGACACACACCTCTTCCGGAGAGCCGCTCCCAACTCCCCCACCAAATCTCGGTGGGGGCCCACGTCCTTAGAGTTCCAGTTCCAAGACACCGGACTGGGCCAGTTTGTGAAGCCTTCATGATGTTTTGTGGTGAAGACCACATACCTGCAGATGTCAAAAACAAATGAGCAAAGGAAGCGGGCGTCAGGCTACAGACGTGAGCTTGTGCAGCCTGTCTTCCTTCAGCGTTAGTACTGGGAGGGGAAAGCCAGGTGGGTGTTATAATCCTGGCGCTCTGGGAGGCTGAGGCCCGAGGACTATTAAGTTGGAGCCCAGCCTGGGCAACTTTACAAGCCCCGGCTTCAAATTAAACAGTAAAAAAGGGTTGGAGACGTAGTTCAGTGCAAAGGCCCTGGGTTCAGTCCTCAACTGCCACACCACCACCAGAACTGGTGGGAGGAACCTGACAACAGGAAATGTGCTGGGATGAGTCACTATATTAGTGACTCCACGCTGAAGACAGTGACTTCAGTGACTCCTCACTGAAGACACAACATCCTGTGAATGCCATTCCAACAATGGGGGCAAACTTGACTGAGTCACAGTCCTTGTACCTAGCCAAGGAGCCCAGAGGGAAGGAAGGACAGGTGGGAGAAAACTAGCCCTTTGATTCTGTTTTTTTTTTTTGGCTCTGATTCTTCAACCCTTCAGGGTATACATAATTAACTTTTGTTAACCCTTTGTCCTGAAGGAGAATGATGTGGACTGGCAATAGGAAATTATAGCAGTGCAAGCTGTTTTACCAAACCTACATAATCCCCTCATTTATAGGAGTGACAAGCCACGTGTGGTGATGCACATACACCTGTGATCCCAGCATTTGGGAGGCTGAGGCAGGATGATCATAGTGAGTTCCAGGCCAGCCTGGGCTACACAGTGAGTCCAAGACCACCCTGAACCAAATGGTGAGATCTTGTCTCAAAAACCAGAAACAAACACAACAAAGAAGCAACAGAAGACTAAAGGGCCGGGAGAAGGTCGGTGTTGAAATAACCTAATCACCTGGTATTTCATTTACTTTTATGGCAGAAAAGTAGATAATGCCTGGACGTGATGATCTGATCACTGCCTGGTGTGGGGGACTCCTGAACCTTAGGAGTCACGCAGTCCTTTAGAGGTCATAGTCGTTGTCTTCTTCTTCTTCTTCTTCTTTTTTTTTTTTTTTGTCTTTTTGAGGCAGAGTCTTGCTATGCGCTTCAGGCTGGCCTTGAGCTCACTTTGTAGCCTAGGTTGGTCTTGAACTTGCAACAATCCTCCTGTCTCAGCCTCCCATGTGGTGGGATTAGTTTTGCGCCCTCACACCTGTAATTTTTTCTTCTTTGTAAAGTAAGAATCTTTATGACCACTGGAAGACAACCCTTCCTGTTCACTCAAGCTTTCTACTCGCATATATTTCTTCCCAAATGCTAAGTGCTGGTTTTAATTTCTCTTTAGGACAACAGAACCTAAAAGTCTAAAAGACACAGAAACCTGAAAGATGACTGTGGAGCCAGGTAGGGAACAAGAATGCTCCAAGTGGAAAGCACAGGGACCTCCCTGTCCCCGTCTCTTTTCTCTGAGCCACTGCCTGAGCGTGCAGGCACCGCAGGGGCCTCGAGGCCGCCCACCCGGGAGGCCCTGCCACGGACAAAGCGGGTCCCCCTCCCCTTCCACACCACGGCGCCCTGGGGCTTTCGGTTTTCGAACTGGCCCACCACGGCCTCCGTGAGTTCCTGACACCGCAGCCTTCTCGGAGCACCGCACAGGGCCGGCCGGGCAGCGGGCAGCAGGGGGAGCATCTGTACCGCAGCCCGCACACCCAGGCCGGAGCTCCCTTCCCTCCGTCTCCGTGGAGGGCACGGGGCAGCTGCCTTCCGCAGGCGTCCAGGGAGGCTGCAGGGAGCCTGCAGGGATTGGTCTGGGCCCACAACTGAACGAGGTCCAGACTCCAGGCCCTTGCTTCCGAGTCTGGACAGGACAGCAGGTGTCGCCCAGCTCAGGTGTAGACAGGGAGGGGTGGCTCTTCCCTGAAACCTGCATTTTTTTTTTTTTTTTTGTAGTGGAAATTTGAACACAAGCGCTTTGCACTGAACTAGGTCTCCAGCCTGAAATCTGATTTACGGATCCCCAACCAGACGCACCTTACTCCGGGTCCGGTGCGCCACGTCCGGCGCAGCCCTCTTCGGGGCGCAGTCGGGCCCGGGCGGCGACGCCCCCACCTCCCCGGCCCCGGCCCCGGCCCCGGCCCGGACGGACTCACTTGGCCCCCGCGGCCTGGAAAAGCTGGGCCCACTCGTGCGGGTGGAAGAAGCGCGCCGTGAACTGCGGCCCGAAGTCGCCGTAGCTGAAGCCGGGCGGATAGTTGTCGCGCATGAAGAGCTGGTAGGCGGGCAGCCCCTCGCCCTGCCAGTGCCACCAGAACCACTCGCTGCCCCAGGCCGGCACCGAGAACACGCCCCAGTGCACGAACACCCCGAACTTGGCCTCGTCGAACCAGGCCGGCAGCGGCCGGGAGTCCAGGCTCGGCCAGTCCGGGGTGTAGCGGCTCGGAGCCCCCGGCCCCGACTGCGCCGCTCCCACGAGCAGCACAAGCAGCGCGACACCCACCAGCCCCGCCATCGCCGCTTCCGAGCCCGGCCCGGCCCGGCCCCGCCCAATACGCAGTTGCAGCGCGGCTCCGCCCATCGGGCCAACGATTGGCTCGGGAGGAAAAAGGGGCGGACCAACCTCCCGATTGCTTGACCCCGAGCCACCTCCTCTCCAGCGCAAGGGTCTCTGCAGCGCCCTCTGGAGTTCCAAGCAAGAAAAACCCCAGGAGGCGTTGGCCGCGCTCCGGTAATGAACTAATGAGAATTTTACTAAACCAAGGACTTCACTGCGGGGTTAAGTCGTGAAGATGAGGCCCACGCCTGTGCCTGGAACTTGGGAAGTCCACTTTGCGCAGCCATACTGCAGCGGCTGCCATAGGCTGAGGCCAGATCACGGGTTTTACTGGGTGGGGAATTAGGGAACCAGAGGCGTTTCTAGTTTGGTTTGAGTTTTGGGGACAGGATGTGGCTGGCCTCAAACTGTCGGCGACACTCTTGCTTCAGCCTCTCCGAGGCTGGCATCATGGGCGTGTACCATCAGGCCCCACCACAGGGAGCTTTTCAGCTGTGTATTCATAAATATGACTTACCCTTTTTTTTTTTTTTTTTTTTTTTGGTACTGGGACTCGATCTCAGAACTTTGCACTTGCCAGGCTGGCGCTTGTACCACTGAGCTATATTCCCAGCCCTCAGCTGTGTATTGATGAGAAAAGCTCAGACGTGAGCGCAGCAGATTGGAGGGGTGTTATAACAGCCCTGGCAAAGCTGGATGTGGTGGCGCAGGCCTGTAATCCCAGCACTCAGGAGGCTGAGGCAGGAGGATCGTTGGGAATTTGAGACCAGCCTGGGCTGCACAGTGAGCTCAAGGCCAGCCTGCACTCCTTAGCGAGACCTTGTCTCAAAAAAAAAAAAAAAAAAAAAAAAAAAAAAAAAAAAAAAAAGACAACACCCCTAGCAGAAATAATGAGGTACAGTGGGCATATGAGTGGGGAGTAGAGGGAAAAGTGGGCACTGAAAGAGTGGGCGTGATCGTTCTGCCTAACACTTACTGAGGTCGCTTTGGGAGTTGAGGCATTTCAGAATGTACCATTTGTGGGGTTAGGGGCGCACATCTGTAATCTCAGCCCTTGAGAGGCGGAGGCAGGTGGGTCACAGTGTTTGAAAACAGTCTAGGCTGTACTGCAAGACCTTGTCTCAAACAACAAAGAAACAGGAGAGTGCAGCCTGTAGCTGGAGGGGCTGGGGTGCAGGTCTGTGGTAGAGGCTCATGGGAAGTCCTCCGGGACTCCCACAGGCTGTGTGTCAGGTCAAGTCCACCTGCGGGTGCGGGAAACATGCAAGTCAGAAGGCACATGACCACAGGTGGTGCAATCAGTGGTAACAGCAGCTTGTCAGAGCTGGAAGGAAGCTTGGAGAGTTCTGGCACCTTCCTCTTCCCTACCCCTCCCATTTTACAGGGTGGGAGACTGAGGCCCAGAGTGGGGAAGGGAGTTGTCTAAGATCATGCGGCTGGTTTTGGCCAAAATGGGACCAGAATCCAACTGCAGCAGATGTGGAATCTGTGCCCTCTCTTGCCCTGCTCCTGCATTGCTCCTGGGAGAAGGCAGGGCCAGCATGACAGCTAAACACTTCCTCCTCCTTGAGTGGTCAGGAAGTAGGGGCTTTGCTCGCGTGAGTGATGAAATCAAGGTGCTGCCATGCAAGGTTAGGGTGGCCTACATGCAGCGGCTGGCGTGCATCGAAGGAATGCATTTTCTGCCTTTATGAGCCACCCGGTTAGTGGGAATTTGATGCAGGAAAATACAAAATCATAAGCTGAACATCAGGCAGGAGGACCACAGGTTTGAGCTTAGCCTGGGCAATTAGCAACTTCGTGAGACCTTGTCTTAAAATGAAAACATAGAAAGGGCTGGGGATGTAGCTCAGTGTGAAGGCCCTGGGTTCAATCCCCATATGGGGTAGGAGGAAGCTGACTCCCTCTGTACTAAACATGTATACTCAGCCGGGTGTGGTGGTGCAGGCTTGTAAGCCCAGCACTTGGAAGGCTGAGGCAGGAGGATCCTTGCAAGTTCAAGACCAGCCTGGGCTACAAAGTGAGCTGAAGGCCAGCCTGAATTGCATAGTAAGACCCTGTCTCAAAGCACAGAACAAAACTCCCATATATACTAACTTTTATTTTCTTGTTATTATTTCCTAGACAATACAGTATAACAAAACTATTTGTTTATCATTTCCATTGTATGGGGTATTGTAAGTTATCTAAAAGTGATTTAAAATATATGACAGGCTGAGGGTAAGGGTGCATGCCTGTGATCTCAGCCTTTGGGAAGCTGAAGCAGGAGGCTCGCTGTGAGTTCAAGCCTAGTCTGGAATACATAGCAAGGCCAAGTCTCCAAAAAAAAAAAAAAAAAAATTAAATAAAAAATAAAGTACAAGGCCAGGTGTAGTGGTGCACACGTCATCCCAGTTCTCAGGAGGCTGAGGCAGGAGGATCACTTCGAGTTTGAGGCCAGGTGGGCTACAAAGTGAGTTTAAGGCCAGCCAGAACTGCATAGTGAAACCCTCTCTCAAAAAAGAAAAAAAGGAAAATATACGGAAGGATATGTGTAGCTTATATGAAAATACTATAGCATTTTATATAAAGAACTGAATATCTATGGTTTTTGGTATCTGTAGGGAGGGGAGGGGCCCTTGAACTAATTTTCCCTCAGATACTAAAAAGGTACGTGACTGTAATCCCAGCACCCAGAGGCCGAGGCAGGAGGATTGTGAGTTCAAGGCCAGCCTGGACTACATAAGGAGACCCAGTCTCAAAAAACAAGTAAATACCCCCCAAAGCACCTCAATAAAAGCCACAGCAGTGTGACCAGAGTACCTAGGTCCATCCTCCCTGAAGTTACTTCAGTTAATTGCTATCATTCGAACTTGCTGATGGCCTTCATTGTACGACCTGTAATATCTTTGTTTATTGAGGTTCTTCTTATCAGAATGTAGACTCCAAGCTTTCTTCAACCCCCAGATGGGGGCAGTCTCCTTTCTGGTTGGGTATCCAGATCCATCACAGACCCTGCACATATTTACAAGGTGGATGGAAGAGCGGATGGACAGGAGATGCTTTGTCTCACATGTATTTACTTAAGACAGTGGGTTTTTGTTTTGTTTTGTTTTGTTTTGAGACAGGGTTTCACTATGTAGTTCAGCCTGGCCTAGAACTCTGTGTAGCCCAGACTGGCCTCACACTCAATGATCCTGCTGCCTCAGCCTCCTGGGTGCTGGGATTGCAGGCGTGCACCACTTTGCCCTGCCTCAAAACAGCTTTGATCAGTATCTTTCCTTTTGTGGTGATTGTGTGAGAATTCCTCTGCAATCCTTCCCATCACCAGCAGTTCCCGTGTAAGCACCACGTGCTAACCGATTGTGCCACTGGAGTGCCACCAACAGCTTCTCTTCTCCCTGTCTTAAGCCCTTCTGGAGGGAAGCCAGCCCCTCCGGTATGTGAAATCCACGTGCCCTGAGATCTTCACATGAGCGGGCTGTGTTCCTGCAGGGCGAATGGATTGTGGCAGCCTGGCCCTTGGCCTGGCATGCTGTAGGCAATGTCCCTTCCTCCTGCTTGCTTCTGCTTGCCCTGCATCACAGGGGTGTGGGGCACGCAAAGGGGGTGAGTGTAGAAAACCTTTGTGAGTAGCTTCCTTTTCTTGGGATCACTGCTTGCTTCTGGTAGCCCCACCAAACAGGATGTTACAACATCACTAAAATATTGGGTTTTTTTTGTTTTTTTCTTTGGTACTGGGAATTGAACTCAGGACCTCATGCTTACTGGGCAGGTGCTGTGCCGCTGAGCTACATCCTCGGCTAAATCTTTTTTTTTTAGTACCGGCAATCGAACTCAGGACCTTGCGCTTGCCAAGCAGGTGCTTATGCCACTGGGCTATATCCCCGGTGTCACTAAAATATTGAGAAGAGTCTGTATCTCTGTGCCCCCAGCTTCCTCTAGGTTCCCCAGGGACCTCAGAGGTCACAGTGCTGGACAGGAGTTGTCAGGTCAGAGCGGCCTTCACCCAGACAACGAGATGCTTGAGCAGAAGTCTCACCATTTATCTCTGGAAAAGGGGGTCACACCCTTCATCCACAACACATCCCAGTTCTCGATCCTTAGCGGGGTGGGACAGCCTGAAGGTGGGGCCTTTCATAGCTTCAGAACCACGGAGGCCCTGATGATTAGAAGGAGCAGCCACTCCCTGGAGAGCCCACCGGATACCCCGCGTTCCCAGGAGAGCAGTCCCGTCCTGCTGGAGCTTGGAGCTCCCCCAAGTCCCTCGTGCAGGCCCTGGGGCTCCCTGTGGGTCTGTGGTCTGGGAGGATGCAGGCCCTAGGCCAGCTGTGGGTCTGACCTGATGTGAACTGAGCCTGTCCTGGGCCCTGGGCCCCCAGTGGCCGCGTGCAGGCAGCGTGGCCAGCCCACCCTCCCAGAGGGGCGGCCGTGCTCCCCAGCACAAAGCGTCAGTGTCCCCCTGGGGCTGGTTTAAGAAAGGTGGCAAGGCCAGTACCTCTCTCTGTCTTCTCCAGAGAGAGACACACTCTCTGGCTGGGTTGTTTAAGACAGCAAAACAGGCCCTATCAGGGATCCAAGTGGATCAGATCTCTGGGAGCCGGACCCGGGGTGGTGTTCATGTCAGCCTCTGTCTCTGTGATGGAGGACTTCACGGAGGACCTGGGGGCTTCTTCTTTTCCCTCCAGCCCAAGTCCCCTCAGGCACTTCTTCCAGTGGACCAGGCGGTGCCGGGCCGAAGAGCGGATTTCCCCGCTGCGCCAGGCGTAGATGATAGGGTTCACCATGGAGTTCAGAAGGCAGAGGATGGAGCAGAACGCGAAGATTTTCTTGACCTTGTCGCTCATCGTGCTGGCCAGGCTGTAGACCATGAGGGCCAAGGCGGGGAACCAGCACATGCACAGCACAGCCAGCAGCAGCCCCAGCGTCTTGGCCAACCTCACATCCAGCCTCATCCGGGTCATTCCTGGCACCGGCTTGTCCTGGTGTTCAGCCAGGCTGGCTACGTGCTGATGGGCCCTCCAGAGGACATGGCCGTAGGTGTAGAAGATGCCAGAGAAGAGGACGGCAATGAACAGGAGCCAGCCCAGCAGGTAGTCATTAGGGATCAACGGGAAAAGCTCAGAGCAGAGGCTGGGACAGCAGGTCCATCCCGCGAGCGGCAGGTAGGACACGAGCGCGGAGACGACCCACATGATGCCCAGGGCCGCCAGCGCCCTCCCTAGGGTGAGCAGAGCTTTGTATGTCAGTGGGTGGCGCAGACAGAGGTAGCGGTCGACGGCGGTCAGCAGCAGGCTGCCCACCGAGGCTGTGAAGGTCATGGTCACGCTGCAGATCTTCAGCAGGAAGATGGCCTTGGAGTCCACGCCATGGAAGACGTGGAAGTTGACAAAGCTACAGACGAAGATTATGCTGGCCAGGAGGTCGGCTCCAGCCAAGCTGCCTATGAACAGGTACGAGGGCTTCCTGCGGAGCCGGTGGGAGGACAGGGTCAGATAGAGCACAGTCGCGTTCTCCAGGGCGCTGAGCAGGCCCAGAATCGTGCACAGCACCGCGACAACTACCCTCTGGGGACCACTCAAGACCATGTAGTCCTTCATGGGGTTGAAGTCCAAGTGGGCCACAGAGCCGTTGGCCGCCTGCGTCTCCTGACACCCCTCCATGGGGTCTGCCTCTCCGCGGCTCCCCACTCTGCTGCAGCACTGGGAAGAGGGAGAGAGTCGTCCGGTTAGTGCAGACAGGACCGACGGGACCTCACCTGACCACTGACACCCATCACACTTTGCCTGAGAGGATGGATCACAGGTTGGAAATCGATACGTATTTTGTTCTCCTTTCTCCACATAAGTGGGGAGCCAGGTCTGTACGAAAACAACAAGCAGAAGTGGCCTAGAAGCTTTTTGGCCTTTTGTTTTCCGAAGACTAATCTTAAGACTTCCTTTTAAAAGCAAGGGAAAGCCCCAAGAGGAAGGTAAAATCAAGAAGAAGTGAAATCTGGAGATCATGTGGGTATTTTGCTTGCTTTTTGTTTTGATTTGTCTTAATTTTTGCCAGTTCTGGTAAGGTGCTGAACATTTTTGTTTTGTTTTTTAAAAATTTTTTTTTGCAGTACTGGGAATTTAACCTAGAACCTTGTCATTGAGCTACATCCCCAGCCCTTTTTTCTTTTTTAGTACCAGAAATCGAACTCAGGACTTTGCACTTGCCAGGAAGGTGCTTATGCCACTGAGCTATATCCCTGGCTCCCAGCCCCTTTTTCATTTCTTAAAAAATTTTTTTTTTTAATCTTTTTGAGACAGGGTCTCGCTATGCAGTTCAGGCTGACCTTGAGCTCACTTTGTAGCCCACACTGGTCTCTAACTCACAACGATCCTCCTGCCTCAGCCTCCTGAGGGCTGGGATTACAGGCATGCGCCACCATGCCCGGCTCATTTCTTAAAATTTTGAGACAAAATCCTGCTAAGTTGCTAAACTGCCCAAGCTGGGTTTGAATTTGAAATCCTTCTGTCTCAGCCTCCCTAAATGCTGGGATTATAAGCATATGCCATCATGCCCAGCAGCTGCTGAAGTTTTAATAACTATTTGGGGATGGGAGATGGTCCTTTGATTTCATCCCAAATGATAGGAAGGTAAATTTTATAAGATAAAATATTTTATCCTACATAGAATATACCAGTCCAGTTAAATTTGAATGTCAGACAATTATTCTTTTTTAGTATGTGTACCACCTTCAAGAGAACAGAGAGATTTGCATGACCATGCCCAGCTAGTTTGTTTTTTTTTTTTTTTTTTTTTTTTTTGAGATGGGGTCTTGTGATATTGCTCAGGTTGGCTCTGATTCCTAGGCCCAAGTGATCCTCTTGCTTTATTCTCAGAAGAGCTGGACTGCATGTATATAACCCTAAACTTGGCCATGGCTAGATCTGAAAAACAATCAAATCCCAGCACTTTGGAGGCAGAAAGATCGCCATGAGTTTGGGGCCAGCCTAGACTACATAGCAAAACCCTGTCTCAAAGAAAGAAAAAAAAAAATTGGTGGATTAAGCGGACAACATATTCTTTAATAAGAACGTACAAGATTTAAATGTGCAATTGTAATCATTAGGCTTAATTGTCTACTTGATTGGCCTGGAACCACCTAAAGGATTAGTAGTAGATCACACTCTGGGTACTTCTGGGTGGGTCATGGAGGTGTGGTCTTGGGGGTCAGTATCTGGTCTCTCAACTCTTCCTCTCTGGTATGTCTCCCTGGGCTGCCCCCGGCCACCATGAACTGAGCAGCGCTGCTCCGCCATGCCCCTTCCACATGAGGTGTCTGCCTCAGAGCCAGCGAACCGTCGATTGAAACCTCAGAAACCATAACCCCATAAACCATTTCTTTTCTTAAATTGAGCACGTCAGGTATTTGGTCCCAGCTATGGTAAAGACGGTTAATACAGCAATGAACAAACTTGACCTAATAGTCACATATTGAGCTCAGCACCAAATAATTGGAGAATATACGCTGTTTTGAAGCAGATGCAGATACTTACCAAAAGTAAGTCCTAAGTGAAATATAAATTGCAAAACTATTTAAAATGATCTGGGACCAGAGATATAGCTCAGCAGTGCAGTGCCTGCCTGGCAAGCTCAAGGTCCTGAGTTCAATTCCTAGTACCCTCCCCCCAAAAAGAGCTGTAGTATAAAAACCATGTTCTACACTTAGAAATTAAGAATCTTAAAAATATAACTCACAAACTTCATGGGTATGGAAACTTAAAAACATACTTCTGGGTAAAAAAATTATAAGGGATGTTATAAAATATATAGAACTGAATTATATGAAACTGCAACACGTTAAAACTTATGAGATACATTTGAGTGCTAAGGGGAGAAACGTTCATAGCCCTTAATGCTCATATTTGAAGGAAAAAGTCTAATGAATTCATGGAACTAGAAAAATAATAGCAGCATAAATCCAAAGAAAACAGAAGATAGAAATAAGAGCAGAAGGCACACATGGTTCATGCCTATATCTCAGCACTCTGGAGGCTGAGACAGGAGGATTGCCATGAGTTTGAGGCCAGCCGGGGCTACATAGTGAGTTCAAGGGCAGCCTGAACTATATAGCAAGACCTTGTCTCAAAAAAAAAAAGAAAAAAGAAAAAAGAAAAAAAAATAATAGCAGATATTAATGACCCAGGACAACAATAGAAAGAATTGACAAAGACCAAAGCTAGTTTTTATTTTGTACCAGGAATCGAACTCAGGATCTTGCACTTGCCAGGCAGGCACTTGTGCCACTGAACTCTATCTCCAGCCCTTGTTTTTTTTTAAGATAGTAAAACAGACAATCTCAGGCAAGATTACTTAAGAAAAAAGGAGAGAAAACTGCAAATAAGAAAAACATTGGGAGCCTGGCGTGGTGGCGCACGCCTGTGTAATCCTAGCACTCAGGAGGCTGAGGCAGGAGGATCACTGTGAGTTCGAGACCAGTCTGGGCTACAAAGTGAGCTCAAGGCCAGCCTGAACTGCATAGTGAGACCCTGTCTCAAAAAAAGACAAAAAAAAGAAAAAAAGAAAGAAAGAGAAAAACATTGGGTATGAGAGAGCAGTGGTCCACAACCCTTTGGATAGGTTCTCAACCTCAGCAGGAGACAACAGAAATGAAAATTTTGCTCCTGCCGCTGACAGTATCAGTGTGGGACCAGGGTGAAGCCGCCAGCACTCAGCACGCAGGTGCAGGTTGACCCAGTCACTCTGGAGAGCAGCTTTGCCAGATCTAGTGAACTCCAAGGTGTCCCTGTCCTCCTTGGGTGTTTCAGTTTCACTTCTGGGCGGATGCTCCCAGCAATGTCCTGCCAAGGGCCTGGGAGACATGCACGGGAGAGCACGTGCAGCCATTTTTGAAATTTTTTAAAAAATTAAATAATCAAAATGTCCAATTGGGAGAGGGATAAATACATTGTATGGCCCTCTAAGAGAATATTATGAAGCAGTGCAAATGAACTGGAGCGATACATGTTAACAGGATAACTTTTTTCAGTCCTGGGGGATGAACACAGAGCCTTTGCCCTGAGCTACATTCCCAGCCCTTACATTTTAGTTTGAGTGAGGGTCTTGCTAAGTGGCCCAGGCTGGGCTTAAACTTGTGATCATCCTGCCTCAGTCTCCCAGAGTGCTGGGAATACAGGTATGTACCACTGTGCCTGGTTAGAATTCTGCCCTCCCCCAGAACCGAGCGTCCCATCCAGAGCCTCACACATGCTAGGCAAGTGGTCTGCCACTGAGCCATGCCTCCAGCCTAATGTAAATCTTGGAAACTCAACGCTGGGCCCAAAGCCAGATCCCTTAGGAGCGTTTAGAGGATTTATGAGGTAGACAAGGGAGCAGAGACCTTGCAGTTGGTGGTAGGTATCCTAGGGAAGTAGGAAGGATAGCAGGAATTTCCCCCAGGACACCAGAAAGCAGAGCTCTGGCTGAGGCAAAAGGAAGAATATGCCGTCTATTCAGATGGCTTTGTTGTATTTTATTTATTTTTTGGTCCTGGGGAACAAGGGGAGCTCTACCACTGAGCTACATCCCAGCTCTTTTTATTTCTTGTCTGACACTAAATTGCCCAGTCTGGGCTCAAACTTGTGATCCGCCTGCCTCAGCCTCCCAAGTGCTTGCGGGGGAGATTACATATGTAGCTACTAGTAAAATTTCAATGACACACAGGATTCCTGTTGTATTGTTTGGGGCAGTGTCACCCATGCACAGCCTGCTGTTCCACCTGCAGACAGGTATGGCAGAGCAATGCCTCAGCCCCAGGCAGCCAGCCCTGGCCCGTTCAATTGGACACCTCCAGCTGGGCCATAATGTTCTTCTCTCACCTCCAGGATTTTGCCCCAGGGCTCTTTTCCTGGCTCCCCTTCCTTCCGGGTCTTCCTGTTGGGCTCACCCGGCCCACAGTCATGTGTGAGACTCCCAGCCTGACTGCACAGACACTGACAGGTTCCACAGTGTCTTCCTCCCCCACTAATGTTTGTACGGAACTTAAATTCTGCAAAATACTTTTCCCAGCCGTAATCTAATTTCACTCACACACCTCTATAAGAAAGCAGTTGTGCCAGGCATGGTGGCACACGCCTGTAATCCCAGCACTCAGGAGACTGATGCAGGAGTATCATTGTGAGTTCGAGGCCAGCCCGGGCTACACAGCGAGTTCAAGGGCAGCCTGAACTGCCTCAAAAAAAAAAAAAAAAAAAAAAAAAAAGGTAAAGAAAAGCAAGCAGTTGTTGGAGCTAGGCACGGTGGTGCATTTCTGTAATCCAGTGCTGGAAGTGCTGAGGTAGGTGTATGGTAAGTTCCAGGTTAGGCTGGGAGCTATCATGGGTTCTGGGCTAGCCTGATTACAGAGTGAGACCCTGCTTATAAAAAAAGGAATTATGGTGGAGTTGGAGGTGGGGCTCAGTAGTTAAGTGCTTACCTAGCATGTCAGAGGCCCTTGGTTCAATTCCCAGCATGCTGGAGCAGGGGATTATGGTTATTGTTGCTTCACAGATAATGGAGGCTCAGAGGCGCTGAAACATTTGGCTGAGGCCACACAGGGCATCAGGGTTAGGGACTGAGCTCTGCTCTTTCCAAATCTTCCATGCCTCGGCACCAGTGCCTGAGACATAGCAGATAATCAAAACTAACCAATGAAATCAGCTCAGATGGAAAGGGTCTGTCTCAAGGGGACTATCCCTGAGTGTCTTAATCATTTTCTCCTTGCTGGGACACAACATCTAACACCCACAGCTTAAAAGAGGTGAGGCCTATCTTGGCTCATGTCTTAGAAGTTTCTGTCTTGCATGGTCAGTGGCATGGCCGAAGGGCCTGGGCGGAGGAGAGCTGCTCACCACAGAACAACCAGGAAGCAGGGAGAACTAAGGGAGAAAGCCAAGAGGGAGATCACCGTTCCAGGTCACGCCCCGAGTCTTCTGCCCAGACCTCACTCCTAACAGCAAGTCAGCTCTAGCACCTCCATCAATCGATCACCATCCAAAATCCCTGCCTATGAACACACGAGGCTCTTGTGGGATAGCTAGATATAAACCATAACATTCTGCCCCTGGCCTCCAAAAGACTCATGCACATCTTTTAATGCCAAATGCATTTAGTCTACCTCATGGGCACACTGGCTGGCCTCCCAGGCTTTCTTCTAAAATCTGGGTTGAACTTTTCCTGACCCCACAGCTCTTGCATTCTGCATGCCTGTAAAATCAGCCCAACATGGACAACTCCAAGGTCTGCTGACAGCCTGAGCAGTAGCTGGGCCTCTTTGAATCATGGCTGCTGCAGCCTCTGAGCACCTGGACAGCTAAACACTGAAAGGAATCTCAGCAAACATGAGCTCACCCACCCTTCCCTAGCAGAGTGCCCTGAGGCTCTCTTCTCCAAGCAAAGTCTGAAGACAGAAGTGAAGTTTTGCTGTTTTTCTGGGATGCCCTGGAGGTATCTTCTCTGTTGTACTGACTCAAAGTACTTGGCTTCTTCTTTTTTTTTCCTTCTTTTTTCTTCCAGTACCAAGAATCGAACTCATGACCTTGCACTTACCAGGCAGTTGCTTTGCCGCTGAGCTAAATCCCCAGCCCCTTGGCTTCTTTATAATGCTAATCTTTTCAGCAACCAAAATCTCCTTTGCTTTATTTTTCAGATCCGGGAGCCTGGCATGGTGGTGCACACCTATAATCCTAGCACTTAGGAGGCTGAGGCAAAAGGATCATTGTGAGTTCGAGACCAGCCTGGGCTACAAAGCTAGCTCAAGGCCAGCCTGAACTGCATAGCAAGACCTCGTCTCAAAAAAACAAAAAAAAAAAAAAAAAAATTTACAGATCCCAAGTTTACAGGAGCTTTCTTTCCGGTGAAACTCAGAACTTTTGAAAGCACTCACCTGTGTCTTTTGCTCTTGATTCTCAATGTAGAGCTGGCTAAAAGCCATATCCATGCCACATCCTGTGTGTTGGGCTGCCTTAAAATTTCCTCTACCAGGTTAGTTTGCCATCCTTTTTTTTTGTTGTTTATTTGTTTTTTTTCTGGTACCGGGAATCAAACTCATGACCTTGCGCTTGCCAGGTGGGTGCTGTGCTGCTGAGCTAAATCCCCAGCCCCTTAGTTTGCCATCCTTAATCTCAGTCTCCCACAAGGTCTCAGGACATGAGCAAAACTTAGACAAAATTTCTGCCCGAGCATAACACACATGATCTCTAGCCTGACTACCAATGGAATCCTTGTTCCCAACTTAAACCCCCTGAACCTGGTCTTCACTGTCTGCTTTTTTAAAAAAATCAACATTCTGGGCTGTCATTATTAAGCTTGGCTTACAACATTCTAGGGTTGCTCCTCTACCCAGCAGCTCTAAACCTTTCTGAACTCTTCCTGCAAACCAGTTCCAAAGTCTTCTCTCAACCACACGGCAATGACCCCAGTTCTCTGGTATCCAAACCTGTCTTAGTATCTTTCTCGCTTCTAGGTCATAATACCTGATACCTACACTCTGAAGGAGGACAGGCTTATTTTTGGCTCACATTTTAGAAGCTGCAGTCCTCGGCGGTGGAAGAGCCTGGGCACAGGAAAGCAGCTCCCTTGATGACAGCCGGGAAGCACAATGAAGGAAAGCAGGAAGGGAGATAGACTCTTCCAAGTCACGCCTGGGACCCGCCTCTTCTGACCAGTCCCCGCCTCCCAACAGCAAATCAGCTATGGCGCCCCCGCAATTCAGTCACCTTCCCAAAGTCCCACCTAGGAGTGCACGAGGCTCCTGGGGGGACGTCTAGGTATAAACCATGAGGCCAGGGTGCAGGGAGACGGGAGCAGATTGCATAGATTGAAATCCCAGCAATGGCCTCATTTGATGCCAAGTGCCTTCACCTTCTCCTTCTCATCTGTTAGGGGGATTCCTCGTGAGGATTTAAAGAAATTAACATAAGTGAGTATGTTTGTTGTTATTGTTATTATTAGGAGCATCTTCAAATGGGGAGGATCCCTCTATGCCAGGAAGTTGTGGAAAATACCATGCCTGGGGCTAGCAGGGTAACTAGTAGTAGAGTAACTGCTTAGCATGTGCAAGGCCCTGGGGTCAATCCCCAGTGGTACACACACACACACACACACACACACACACACACACACACACACACACGTATACACAGGCTGATGTGGTAGTGCATATCTGTAAGCCCTGCACTTGGCAGGCTGAGGCAGGAGGATCACCATGAGTTTGAGGGCAGCCTGAGGCCCTGTCTCAAAAAAAAAAAGTGCCTGGCACATCATAAAAGCTCAGTAAGCCGGGCATGGTGGCACATGCCTGTAATCCCAGTGCTTGGGAGGCTGAGGCAGGAGGATCATTGCAAGATAGAGACCAGCCTGGGCTACAAAGTGAGCTCAAGGCCAGCCTGAACTGCATAGTGAGACCCTATCTCAAAAAGACAAAAAAACAAAAACAAACAAATAAAAAAAAGAGCTCAGTAAATGGCAATCGTAGTTCAGTGTTCTTAGATCTTTTTTTTCCTGTACTAGGCAACCCATGGATAGCCTTCTTTATTTTATTAGTTTTTTCTGTCTTTTTGAGACAGGGTCTCGCTATGTAGTTCAGGCTGGTCTTGACCTCACTTTGTAGCCCAGGTTGGCCTCAAACTCACAATGATCCTGCTGCCTCAGCCTCCCAAGTGCTGGGATTACAGGCATGCGCCACCACGCCCAGCATTTTATTTTCTTTAATTAATTTGTTTGTTTGTTTATTGTGCAGTACTGGGGATGAACTAGAGCCCTTGCACTGAGCTACATCCCCACACTTTTTTTATTTTTTATTTTGGGGCAGGGTCTTGCTAAGTCATTAAGTCACCCAGGCCAGGCTCACGCTTGTGATCCTGCTGCCTCAGCCTCCCAGTGTGCTGGAATTACAGGCATTCACCAGCATGCCTGGCTCTTTTAAGACAGGTTCTCACTTAGTTGCCCAAGCTGGCCTCAAATTCTCCATCCTCCTGACTCTGCCTCCTGGGTAGCATGCACTACTGTACTAGCAGCACTCTTGGGATTTCTGAAAGAGCAGCTCCCTTTTATTATCGGCAGAACCCCTTTTCATGAAGCAGGCCGCTGGAGCCCTCCCATCGAGGCAGCCCAGGCCCCTCCATGGACCCAGCAGGCTCCAGGAAGCAGAAGGAAGACCTCCTGTCTCATGTGGCTCTATTGCCACTGAGCTAACAGCACGGGCAGAAAGGTAATTTGTCTAACCCAACAAGTTAGTGGCAGAGCTGGACCTCGATTCACATCTCCTGGGAAGCGGGGAAGGAGCATCTCTCGGAGGCAGATGCCTTCTTTGGGTGTTGTCAAGGTCATACCTGAGCTGAGACAGAAAACAGTGCCTGCTGGCTCTTGACGGGGGTCACAGGGAAGTGAAAGACAGTGCACACAGAACACCAGTCTTTCTCATGCCCACGTCCCCAGCTGCCACCTGGAAGCTTCCAGGGCAGGAGGCTGAGACAAGATGCAGCCTTTCCTGGCTACTGCCCCGGCAGGAACTCTCTCCCCTTGCTGCCCTTGGAATGCTGCCCCTGCCGTCAGGGGATGGCTTACCCTATGCACAGTCCAGCCTGGAAGAGGGTCCTGGCATGGCGGTGGCTGGCATCTGTGCCTCACGCAGGCCTTGTGCAGCCACCAAGGTGTGGTCACCATCCAGAGTGGGGCAATGCAGGGAATGCAGGAAATGCAGGAGTGCGGACAGAGGTCCTAGCAAGACAACATCCGATAACAACAGGATGCAGCGGGTGACAGGAAACGCAGCTCCGTGTCCTTTGCCTCTGGGGTCGCACATCTGGCTTCTGGAAGGGCCTGTGTCTAGGGCGAAGCCGATCTGAGTGTGTCTGCCACACGGGATACTTGTTCTCATCCCCCTCTGTCATACATGTCAGGTGACTCCTGGTGAGTCCCCTCAGCTTTCTGAGCCACTTTTCTCATCTGTGAAGTGGCAGTAACAATACCTGCCCACTTCTTACAAAGGCCCTGGGATGATGACTTCCGTCACTGTTTTGTGACCGGGCCATGGGTGGGCTCTACAGGGCTACTGATCCTTTCAAAGTACGCATGGGATGTGTATCTGAGCCAGGCACAGGGGTGCACACCTGTAATTCAGCCATTGGGGGGCTGAGACAGGAGGATCACAAGTTCCAACACAGCCTGGCAAATAGCAGTTTAGCCAGACCCTGCTTCCAAATACAAATAAAAAGGGCTGGGGATGTAGCTCAGCATGAAGCTTCCTGGTTCAATCCCTACTGCAAAATGAATAAATAAAGATAAAAGCACTGGGCGTGGTGGCGCACACCTGTAATCTCAGCACTTGGGAGGCTGAGGCAGGAGGAGCACTGTGAGTTTGAAGCCAGCTTGGGCTACACAGTAAGATCAAGGCCAGCCTGGGCTACAGAGTGAGACCCTGTCTTAAACACTCAATCAATCATTCAAAACATGCTGAGATGTAGCTCAGCGGTAGTGTGCATGCCTGCTGTGTGTGAGGCCCTAGCTTCAAATCCTCAGCACCACAAAGAAAAGAAAAAAAGACCTGCACTGGTGCATTGTCCCAGGGAAAAGGATTCACCCTTCCCATGGATGCCAGCGCCCCTGTGAATATGAGGAGCCACTCAGGCACGCAAGAATGTTTTGTGGCCTGATACTGTACAAAGGTAAGAGTAAGAGAGCCAACCAGCAGGCATCTCCCCACCCACCCCAACACCAGAGCTGGGACCACCCGGCACCGTCCTGCCCGTGCCGCACCCTGGCTCACCCTGGGCGTCTGGGAAGGGAACCTCGGGCCCGGGAAATTCTTAGGGGAAGGAGAGCCGAAGGGAAAGTGTGACATGAAAGAGGTCACCATCGCAGCTGCCACGGAGCCGCAGGTGACAAGGAGGGTGAAAGGCAGTGCACAGACAGCGCCCGTTGCCTGTGATGAGTGGACGCCACTGGCTTCGTAGCTTTGTTTTACTTTGGTGCTGCGAGTGGCACCCAGGGCTCCCACGTGCAACGTGTGTGCTCTCCCACCGAGCCGCACCGGCTGCCTCGTTGTTTTTACCCCTGGCTGGAGAGGGAGGGCTTGGGTTCCAGTCCCCGTCTCGCCCCTGAGTGGCTTTGGCCAGGCCCTGTCTCCCGTCTGGGGCTTCCTTTCCTCCTCTTCAAAGCAGGTGGGTTGACGGGCGATTCCCAGTCTCCTTCAGGAGACTCAGCATGTGGGATCCCACTATCACAGGTTTTGAAGTGAGACCTCCCTGGATTCAAATTCAGCTCCGTGATGTATGGGCTGGTGGCCTTGGGCACTTCTCTGAGCCTGTTTTACTCACCTACAAACTGGGAGAAATTCTCCCCGTATGCCGTGGTTGTGAAGATTAATGCTAGAAGCTTACTAAACTTATGATGCTGTGCCTGACTTATAGTAGGTGGCTAACGAAAGGCAAGAAATCAGCCAGGCGTGGTGGCGCACGCCTGTAATCCCAGCACTTGGGAAGCTGAGGCAGGAGAATCGCTGCAAGTCCGAGGCCAGCCTGGGCTACATAGTGAGTTCAAGGCCAGCCTGAGCTGCATAGCGAGACCCTGTCTCAAAAAGACCAAAAAAAAAAAAAGATTTTGTCTTATTCCAGAAAGAATGGACATCATCAAGGAATCAAGTAAGAATTGGCCAGGCGTGATGGTGCACATCTATAATCCCAGCACTTGGGAAGCTGAGGCAGGAGAATGGCTGCAAGTCTGAGGCCAGCCTTGGCTACATAATGAGTTCAAGGCCACTCAGAACTATAGCGAGAACTTGTCTCAAAACAAAAACAAACAAATAATAACAAACGTTGGAGAGGTTTAGCGAAAAGGGAATCTATCTATATTGTTGGTAGGAATTAAAAAGGTACAACCTTTATGGAAATCAGTGTGGAGATTCTCAAATAACTAAAAATAGAAATTTCTTTTGACCCAGGTATTTGATTCTAGGTACCGTATCTTCCTGAAGGAGTTAAAGACATCATATCACAGTGGTCCATGCACACTCATGTTTATAGCGGCACAATGTATCATAGCCAAATCTTGGAAACAGCCCGAATGCCCATCAAGAGGTGAATGGATAAAGAAAACAACGGAGTACTACTGTGCCATAGAGATAAACTTGAGGCATTCATAGGTAAACGGGTGCAACTTGAGATCATGATATTAAGTGAAATAAGTCAGACACACGCTTAAATATCTCATGGTTTCCCCATGTGAGAAATTATATATCTATATCTATCTATTATCTATCTATCTTGAAGATAAATAGGAAGTAGAAAGATCTTTTCCAAATGACAGGGGAAACAAGGGGACAGAAGGGGGGAAAAGAGGGAAGAGGGACGGCAAAAAAGAGCTGGAGGGAGAAATAATGAAAACAGAGATTTTGCAAACAGGAAGGGGACCAGGAGTTGGAAGGAGCAGGGAGGGAGCGGGGGAGAAGGGGAAGGAAAAAAAAAAGAATGAAGAGGTATTATGTGCATGTACTAACTCCTCATGATAAATGTAATCATTATATACTGCTAATATGTACTAATAACAAAATTT